ATCCAAGCCACATACCCTTTCTTTATTAATCAGAGCTTCAATACAAAAAAAATCACACAATTCCTAAAAGAAGACACAACTATTCTAGCATGAGTTCTGCTGCAAGGACAATGCACAAGGTATTGGGGACTGGATTTTCTTGCACCCTACCTCTGGCCTGGGACGATGGGTGTTGACACACTCAACGTTTAGAGAGATGTATTCCACCTCACATCCATAGGCCACAGGAGTTAGTTTGATCACGTTGTGGAGTGGAACTTCAATGTAGGCCAGCTCATCTGAAGAGAAGATTGATTGGTCAATTCAAGTGACTATATGAATTCATTAGATTATTTCTGAATATACTTTCCTGCATGATTTAAATTGATCCATTATTTCTGAATGTACTTTCCTGCATTACTTAAATTCTTCTATTCACTTATTTCTGAATGTACATTCCTTCATTACTAAAACAAGTTACTTCAACAAATCCACATTTTGTGGATTGTTCTATATCACTCTTCACATATTAAACTTTCATACCATCTCAAATGTATTACCAACACACTCTTGAGGCACTTCCTCGACAAAGGTTATTTTACAAGCTTTTGTAAAGAAGGACCTTGAACTCACCAGAAGGTTTGTCGAGGAAATATGCAAGAAGACATCTCAGGACTGCTTGATGTGCAATCAGAAGGACATTTCCTTGGCGTTCAAGCTCCATAATTACAGGTTCCAGACGTGCTACCAAGTCCTCATAGCTCTCACCTCGAGGATAACGGTAGCTAGCAATGGGAAAGCAGTAAGTGTTAAAACATTACATCATCTACATCTACATAAATATAAAAGTTAAATAGTGACAATATTAGCATAAATACCCTAGGAAATAACTACAATACCACTTTTCACAAGTATGACATTCTTTTTACTTAAACAGAAACTGACTTACCTGAACTTATTCTGGTCACGAGCAGCAAAATCTTCAGGGAACTTTGTTTTGATTTCAGCGTATGTCATCTCTTCACAAATTCCCTTCAAAAAATAATATAAGATGAGTCAAAATTCCAAAAAAAAAAAAAAATCCATTCTTAAAATTCAATATAAAATGATTATGGTGAAGCAAAGAGCACAAATCAAATCAATACAGAATATCTGGTTGAGTTTATTGAAGGCTGCTTTAACTTACTGCATCAATTTCGTTCAGTGCCTTCCACCTTTCCTGAGGAGCGTCAATACCCTCTGCCGTCTGAATTGTACGCTTCATCCAAGAGGTCCAAACCCGTAACTGCCAAGTCAATGACGTTAGTTTTGTATTATCATAATACAAATAACAGCAACAACCACACCAATTATGATAAAAATGATAATGTTAATAATAACCAGAACATCAACCAAAATAACAGCAATAATAATAATAATAATAATAACAATGATAATAATAATTATCATTAAAAATAATAATAATAATAATATTAATAATAACAAGAATAATAATTATCAAAATATAGAATAATGTTTAACAAGTATAAGGCTTTTTAGATAGACTTACCTTAGGTATCTTCTGTTCCTTAATGTATTCTGCAAGGGCATTTCCAAACTTACGTCCACGTTCACTCAAGTCAGAGTCCCCTCCAATTTTGCCCATTTGGTTGTAAGCACTTTCTCCATGCTGGGAGAAAGATAATTGGAAATAATTATTTAGACACAAGAATATCATCATAAATGCATACTAGATATCTTATTCATCAAAAACATAAATACCTAATGTTATACATTCTAAACACTGCAAACTATAAATCAGAGATTAATAATTTGAAGCCCAGATACAACTAGCCATAATAAAAAAAAAAACACACTTTACTTACTCGTGCAAGATAGATGGTTCTGGGAGTGACATGAGTATTCATCAAGTAATACACAATACGTGCCTGGATGTGTCCCTCATGCTTGTGAACGACCACCTTCTGCCCTGCTCCCAGGAAAACCCAGTTATTAGTGTTGATATAAATTTTCAATCATCTTCTAAGATGTCTTGTGATTCATTAAAAAAGAAAAGAAAGAAAAAAAAAAAAAAAAAAAAAAAAAAAAAATCAAAATACTATATGGCGATGACAAACCTGTGTTATAGACTTTCATGAAGGAGAGGTGGTCTTCCAAGGCTTCATCGAGAGGTTGATATTGCTCCATATAATGCTCAATCCTCTGCAAGAAGTCCTCAAGTGCCTCCTCTGATGTCATTCCACGATAGTCTGGGCTGTTAACCTTTACTTCCTGTTGACAAGAGTGAACATTTATCATATGCAATCACTATATGTAAATACCCTTCTCTCCTTTTCATTCACTAAACACAAAGAAATATCATACAAGAAAGAAAAACTGCATTAATGAAGCTACCATCATTAGCAGTACATATTGTTCTTTTTCCCTAAAATCCCTTTGTTCTGTGCATGCATACTTGGTAAATTCTATATTATATGCAATTTGCTGCTCATCTTGCAAACTTGTAAAACACTCAGCTCATAATACATTTCTAAAGTGAATGTCTAAATAATCCTCTGAGTGCATAAAAAGTCTGCACTCTCTGGAGCTTCCATTACCCATCCAAAGGTACATGATTATCCTAAAATGCTTATAGTACTAAATTCAGGATTATTATAGGTCAAAAAGGTTCTCACATTAGTAACCTTTCTCATGAAATTATATCATACAAAACAGTTTTCCTTAATAATGCTGATTAGCAATACCTTCATATATCACTCCAGTTTTACAAGAAAATAATTAGCAATACTATTATCATCACTAATTCCATGATTATCCTTATCATCGGTAGCATAAGAATGATAATTATAATCATGGTTCTATTATCATCAATATCAGTATAGTATTTACTATCAGCACTAGCTTTTGTAGTACAGGTAATAGTAATAGAAGCACCAATTGTGAACAATTTGTGAAGTTCATTATCATTACTATAGTATTTACTATCAGCACTAGCTTTTGTAGTACAGGTAATAGTAATAGAAGCACCAATTGTGAACAATTTGTGAAGTTCATTATTATTACTGATATAAACCTTTCATACCACTATTCTAAAATAAATAATACACAAAAAACTGGCATATTTGAAAATAATACATACACAATCATCATTCATACTACAGCTAATGATAACAACAATAATGATATTCATTATCATTATATCATTCTTAAATCATTATTATTCTTGTTACTACCATGATAAACATTATTGTACTGTATATGCTATCGTCATTATTAGCATCAATATCATAATTATTAGTATTTAGTATTTTTTTTATCATCCGCATCATTATTATCACCATCACTTTACTACTAATACTACTATTATTGTTATTATCATCATTATTGTGATCACTATTGTTATCCTATTATCTTTATGAATACTGTCATTTACATTATTAGTAGTAGCATCATTATTCCTATTAGTATCATTACATTTTCTGCCAACTTAATCATATGCCTTATCTATTAAAACTATGTATTCTTTCAGTTTAATCTTAATCTATGCTCATATAAATTTGTTACTATATATACTGCCATGATAGAATGATAATATCACTATCTTAAATGAGCTTCTTCCTAACATGTAGAAAAGACTATTGTTTATGTTATTACAAATTTTGCTTTGGATTCCAATTTGTAAGCTTGGAAAGACCAGCTACTAGTAATTCTAAAATATATTCTAAATTTTGGTCTGAGGATAACACAACAAAATTTCACTTCAAGCAGTAATGTATTTGCTAATAAAATCTATGTTGATGCTTCTGTATATCTACACATCCTTAAAATCCTAAAATGTAAACTTTTATATCTAAATGCAGTTTAATAACTAATTCCAAATGCATGAAAAGCATTGAGTATTACTATGCCAACTGAGCCTCTGAGTATTATTAGGAGCTTATAGAAATAGCAAGGACAAACTACTTGTATATGAAATACTGCAAAATGCAGAATCTTTAAGTTACAGCTGACACATGTCCAACATGCAACTCTGCTTAGTAAAATATCAAAGAAATCTTCTCAACTTAATTTCTAACGTAAATCAGTCTGAAAATATTTTAAAAATCATTTGATACATAATCATATAATCAATGCTTATATGATGTATAAATTAAGCTGTAAGTACTTGCAAGCACACTAACCTGTGTGAAGAATAGTTAACAAGAATGAGACACTACTATTACTGCCATTTTATATAATAAGGATATGAATTCTCCTTTCCTACCATTGTAAATATCACCTCTCTAAACATCAAAGGAACTGAATTATTTTGCTCTGATACTAGAAAACTAGTATAATTTTAAAAATCAGTTTCTCCGCCATCACCCATATCTGCTTAAGCTTCAATACCATTATAGCAACCAGATTTATCCTGCAAAGCACATAGAGGAAAACTGAATCTGCAAGGAAACAGCTACTGTGGACAGCTACTTACAGATAATTACTCAAAGGTACAAATCAAAAGTGGAGGGGTTTGAAATAATCATTTTTGTCTTGGATTTGTAGATGCTTTAAATTTGGAGATGCTTTAAATCTTCTGAATAAAGAACTGAAATGACCCATAATGCATGGCTAATTTCAGAAACTTTTCAGTTGGTTTAATCAGTAGTGGAAAATATTGGTTATTTCTGAAAAATAATATGATTGTCTCTGTCAACAAAATCTACTACAATCTCCACAATCTATGTAAAAAAAAGTTATAAAATGAATGGACCTTTTACTTCCATCAGTAGTGTATGGTCCAATTTTCCTTCGCCACAACCAGTGCAATTCTCCAATTGGTTAAAGCCAAGCAAAAATTCTTAAAACATAAAAAAGAACTAATCAATCCTGTATACAAACTTGAGAGCAAGGATGCCCAGGAGATTTACTACTATGAGATGGCGACCTTGGATAGTCTGGGCCGTTGATCTTCACATCCTGTGCAAGCAAGCAAATTCAATAAAAGTAGGCCATTCTCAATCTCACTTCAATAAGTAAAATTAAAAACTTGTGGTGCCAAAGCAAAGGATGACAAAAAATTGGTGAATAAGGTATAGGTAAATCATTTACTTGCTTTAAACTAGCCTCATGGGTTTCTTAATATTCATTTCACTTACCTATCACGTGTGTACATCAATTAATGTGCTATACTAAGAATTTTTGTAATAACAGAAGCCAAGAGCAAAATCTGTAGCACAGTTACATAGCTTGGTGTAGACCTGCAAGCATGATAGTGGAGTAGGGTAGAGTGAAGAACAAAATACTGTACTGTATAGTATACTGAATATTCAGTATGAAAAAAATAATCAGAAACTTGGCAAGACAGACAGTATGCAGTTACAAGCAGATAGCTGAGGAATTAAGTTGTAAAAATATCCATTGATAGATGATTATACAGAGAAAATAAAAATAAAACTAACTTCATTATATAAAAATGACTGAGAGAAAAGTATGAGCTTTTAATCTATATATTTCTTCTGTACCCAACTATAATAAGTAATAATATAATACAAAGACAATATCAAACTTAATTCTCCCATCCATTTACTGTGCACAACCATAAATACTTGTAAGCCTTTTAAGTTGACTAAAGAGACAATAGCAACAATTATTCAGTAAAGAAATATAAAGAAATATCTATATCATTTGCATACAACTTTATGTTGAAGTGTAATCTCTTCAATGCTAAATGTTAAGTGATTATCATTTACACAAAAATTATGATGATTTCACACGATTCATACTTGCAATATCTCTTTAGATATGAAGTATACTATAAAAGGAAAGCCATTAGCTTCTACACCTATGTACTACTGTCTTGCAAACTATTTTAGCTTTCAACAGAAACTGTATTATGATCATGTGTATATGGGTCTCACGAAAAAGTATCTGAACTTTAACTATACAATGAAAATTGTATCCATCAAACTGAGGAAACTATAATCCTGTACACTGTAATTTTTGGTGAATTTTGCTGCAAACAAATGGCTCCACAACAGCACTTTTGGACCCATCTCTGTGTAAACCCAATCAGTAAACTAAAAGTACACTAGAAATAGTATGTATTCTTGCCCACTGCAGCCACTGGGTTTTAGTTTCCTCAAGTTAGCATGTAGTTTTCATCTTAAAACCCTTTGTGCACACTTTTGTGTGTGTGTGTGTGTGTGTGTGTGTGTGTGTGTGTGTGTGTGTGTGTGTGTGTGTGTGTGTGTGTGTGTGTGTGTGTGTGTGTGTGTGTGGTGTGTATAGTAGGAGCAGGGTGTGGGTAGGTGGGTGAGTGGGTAGATGGGTGAACGGGTAGGTGGGTGAGTGGGTGGGTGGGTGCATGAATAGGTGGGTGCATGGTAGGTGGGTAGGTGTGGATATGGATGTGGGTGGACTGAAGGTGTAAGTGAGGGTGTAAATGAGGGTGTAAAGTGTAAGTTTGAGTGTGAGTGTAAGTATAAGTAATATAAGTATAAGTATAATGTAATAATAGGTGTATATGTAAGTATAAGTGTAAGTGTAAGTATGAGTGAGTGAGTGAGAGTGTGAGTGAGTGAGTGAGTGAGTGAGTGAGTGAGTGAGTGAGTGAGTGAGTGAGTGAGTGAGTGAGTGAGTGAGTGAGCAAGCTAGTGAGTGAGAGTGAGAGAGTGAAAGAGTGAGAGTGAAAGTGAGAGTGAGAGTGAGAGTGTGAGTGTGAGTATGAGTATGAGTGTGAGTGTGAGTGTGCATGTGTGTATGTACGTGTTTTTATGTGATACAGATCTGCTTGCAAATCTATTAAAAATTATTGCTAGTAGAGCAAGAAAATGATAGCCTACTTCAGCATTGTAAAATGCTGCACATGTAAAATGACATTAATAAAATAACATAAGCAGAAAACACAGACAGATGAAGAAATTATAGAATCATTGACCATTCAACATTGGATGTTCCATAATCAGGATATTTAGCAAAGGACGAAAACTACAATAAAATAAAATAACTCTGTTCAAATTGAGGCAGTGGTTAATAGGCTGCAGACATCATAATTAAAAGTTAATACAGGACAAGAAGCTCACTCGAATGGCCTGTTTCACGAACTCTTAAAGAGATGCGAAGCTCAGACAAAACAGTTATCACACTAGGAGGTAACTGTAGCCTCCTGGATGTATGAAGACTGCCTCATAGACATGAAATACACAAGATAATCTACCTTAACTATAGCTACCATAATGTGTCTTTGTAGACCCAATAACCACAGCACTTCACATTAGTAAATCTACACCTTGAATTGAGATTCAAAACTGCCTTACCCTTATATTAGCCTCGATGATGGATGGGTCATCACAAATTGACTCTACGTAGAATAGCTTGTACTCCATTTTCTCCACTATGATGTTGTATATTAATCGCCGACGATGCATTGTTGTATTTGTAGCATCAAAGACCTGAAAATGAAAATAAGATCTGTGGTCAGAGAGTTGTATACAATAAAGTTGTTCAAATCATTATAATCATCATCATTATTACTATCATTATCATCATTATTCTTAACATAATTAATATCATCATCATCATTATTGCTCTTATAATCAGCATTACCAATTCATAATAATACACTGCTATAATTCTATCAATGGTCCTTTTTTCTAATTCTTCAGTACTGTTCAACAAACTAAAATGGGAGTGATCAAGAGCAATAAATAATGAAAAAAGTATGAAACACTAAAATCACATAAAAAAACAATATAAGAGTATTGAAACAATAGCCAAGGTTAAAACAAGTTAGTTTTAACTCACAATTTGGATAAATTAACATGCAACTCATAAGCATTTCTATATGCCACTAAAGAATCAAAACTATTAAGAAGAAAAATAAGCTTTATTTTCATATGATGTACAAGAATCAAAATCATTTACCTAAGTGACCTCAACATGTACTATCAACGTCATAGCCAAGTCAATTATCATTGTGCGGTCTAGTCTAATGTTATCTTATATGCAATTATTCTCACAAAGTCCCTACACTGACTTAGACACCATGAGGTCAAAGTCACAGGCTATGAAGAAAAGCAGGAGTAAATGCTTTGGCCATATTCATCAAAATCGAATGTTAGCAAGATTGACACTAACTTAGGGGCGTGGTGGGTGGGTAGGTGAATTATGGAATTCAGAACTAAAGCCTCTTTATCAAATGACTAAACACAGCCAAAAGGCCACATCATCATTAATGTGCAGGTCATTATATCCTTCCATTGGAGCCCTTTATGACTTATGAACTACAAAAAATCCACCTCATTCCCATTACTGATATTGAACAGCTGTTTATCACCTTTAGTATGTTAAAATGTATATATTGCCCAGCTAATAGAAAAATGCAACACTTACAGCCACTTCACCCCCACTATTATCAAGCCAGTCACAAACGTCATCCAGGGCATCCATCGCACACCGTTCCCTGAGAGCCATTGCTTCTTCATTGTCCGAACGGAAGAAGTTATGATTCTTGTACATGTGGGTGGCACGTCGACGGTACTCGCCCAAGTTGAACACTAAGGGGAATAAAAGTCAGAGAGGGAATCAACATCCTGAAGATTCATTCTGCAATCTCATCATCAGGAAGAGAAATAATATCACATTCTCAGGATTACAATGACCTTTAGAGGTTCATACCTTTTGTTTTTATGCCGATCCAGTTGAGGTACCTTGTCAGCTTTTTAGCCATGTAGGTTTTTCCTCTTGCAGGCAGACCCACCATAACAATGACATGTGGCGTGTTCACATAATTGGCACGCTCTCCTAAGGCAGAGAGAGAAAAAGTATATAAATTAGAGGGTTTAGAGATGATTATATGCATAACCTTTGACAAAGAAAAAAATCAAACCTTTCTGAAAATGAGTGTAATTAAACATACCATTTGGGAGGCAAGTTGAGCGGTAGCTAAGTCTCCTGTGTCGAAACATATTGATAATAACTATTACCAATCAAAAACTGAAATCAAACTACTTTTCTAAATGTCCTATATACAGGAAATGTTACCATGCAAAATTTCAAAGAAATTAATTAAATAACTGGTTAATACTGAGTATCATGCACATGGATGTGCTTTCTATACTTCCACGTTGTACAGTGCAATACAGTTCTATAAAAAGTCCAAGGTACAAATTCACACTTTGAATCACGGTTCCAAGAGGCCTTTTTTTTCTTTTCTTTTTTCTTTAAATTCTACAATTATAAGCAATATTCATCTCAAAAAAACTATCAAAAGTTTGATGAAACATATAAATCTTCCCTGGTGGTAATAATTACCTTGTGAATCCAAAAACAATTAAAATGATAAGCACATCTGGCAACTATAAGTGACTGTGCATTTCTTTTTTTTTCTTCTTTTTTTGTGTGTATTTAATGAGATACGGTTTGTTAGTAGGTCACTGGCAAGAACATATGTAACCACAATAGCCTTAAGGATGAAGAGCCCACACATATAATATAGGTAATTCAGCCCTGAGAGCAGGTACTTGTCTTTATCACTTTAGTCTGACCTTGAAACTGTGTTGCCAGCAATGTATATCAAAAGCTGAATTCCAGACATATGCGTTTTCTCTTAGTTACTATCACAACATGCACTGAAAACTTGGAAAATGAATGAGAGATTTGAGCTTCAGTAACTTAAAATTCATTCAAATCATATCAGATTATGAAAACGGAAATCCATTGAAAAACTGTTGGCTTAAGAATATTTGTCAACTCAGGCATGGAAACTGAGCCTAGCTAAGATAAGGCGTTACACAGCTTCGTTTCATGGGATCATCATATTCCATCCCATGCACAGGTAAATAAACAGATTTCTCTTTTAGTCAGTTATATAATATAAAGAGAAGACAAAAAAATAGTTAATGATACTACATTTAAAAATGTATTTTCAAAGCAATTATGATTGAGCATATAATAGTGACTATATATTTTTAAAATTTATGAAGGGTGCTACTCAGGATTTACTCTTTTAGGTTATATATATTCTTTTTGTAATTTCATA